GCAACCCGGCCCCTGGCTCAAAAAGGTTGCCTACCCCTGATGTAGAGAGAACTATTCCACTTTTAACGGCTCTGGCTGCCTCCTGTTCCATTCTGGGATTTGCAGTTTAAGGATGGGCTTTTAGAATTCTCAGTCAGAGAGCTCTTAGGCCTCACTGAACTACAAACCCCAGAATGCAACAGGAGACAGCCAGAGCAGTAAAAGTGGAACAGCAGCACTATAAGAGTGTAGTTTGGTAACTGAAAGAAAGAGGTTGGTAGCATGTCTACTAAATACATCTGAGGAAGTAGATTGAAGTCTAGAAAAGCGCATGCTGCCAACTTCTTTCAGTTAGTCTCAATGGTGCTACAAGATCTCTCTACATATTATTATTATTATTATTATTATTATTATTATATCCAAATGCATCTGAGGAAGTAGATGTAAGTCTAGGAAAGCTACTGCTGCCAACTTCTTTCTTCCAGTGAGCCTCAAAGGTGCTACAAGATCTCTCTCTCTTATTATTATTATTATTATTATTATTATTATATCCCAAATGCATCTGAGGAAATAGACTTAAGTCTAGGAAAGCACATGCTGCCAGCTTCTTTCTTTCAATTAGTCTCAAAGGTGCTACAAGATCTCTCTACATATTATTATTATTATTATTATTATTATTATTATATCCAAAGGCATCTGAGGAAGTAGACCTAGGGGGTTTACCATTGCTATCCTCTGAGGGCGAGAGAGTGTCACTTGCCTAAGGTCACCCAATGGGTTTTCCATAGCCAAGACAGGAATTGAACCCTGAACTCCAATCTTATAGTCTGAAGCTCAAACCACTATACCATGCTGGGTCTTGTTGGGAAGAGTGGGGTTTAAATCTTTGCTGGCCTCCAAGGTGCATTCATACTGTAGAAATGATGCAGTTTAACACCACTTTAAGTGCTGTAGCTCCATCCTATGGAATCCTGGGAATTTGCCGTTTTAAGCAGTTCCTAAGCAGTGTGTGTGTGTGTTGTTTGTCTTCAAGTCATTTCTGACTTATAGCAACTCTAAGGCGAACCTATCACAGGGTTTTCCTAACAAGTTTCTTCAAAGGGGCTTTACAATTGCTATCCTCTGAGGTGGAGAGAGTGTGATTTGCCCAAGGTCACCCAGTGGGCTTGCATGGCTGAGCCAGGATTCAAACCTTGGTCTCCATCAACAACCATTGTTAAAACTGGACTTGCCACTTCATTTCCACACACAAAGGATTTTGACTTTGAATGGACATTCTCTCACACTAATGGCATATATAGGTCTGTCCCTGGCTTTCCACTCCGCCAAATGCATCTGGGGAAGTAGATTGAAGTGTAGGAAAGCTCATGCTGCCAACCTCTTTCTTTCAGTTAGTCTCAAAGGTGCTACAAGATCTCTCTACATCAGGAGTAGGCAACCTTTCCCCTTTAAGGGCCGAGGGACTTCAGCTCCCAGAATCCCAGGAGCTATTGGTCAACATGGGACTATTGGCCAACATGGCTGAGGCTTCTGGAAGCTGAAGTCACTCGGCCCTTAAAGGGAAAAGGTTGCCTACCCCTGCTCTACATACTGATTTTACAAACTAACATGGATATATCTTTGAATCCTGGTCTCCAGAGTCATAGTCCAATGCTCAAACCAGTGTACCATGCTGACCCTCAACTCCTAGGTAGTGGGTTCCAGAATATACTGGACTTGAAGTCTCCTAGCAAGCAGGTAGCCAGTCATTTCATTTCCAACACACTTGGAACATATTTTAAAAGGAATCTGTTTCTGTGCGTTCATTATTAGAGTGTTCCATATATGCAGAACAGGAACCCCATAGGAGATAGAGGACTTAGGTAGGAGATGATGTGATGTTGATTGGTTGCTGTCTCGGCCCCCTGTTTTATACTCAGGATTGTGAAAGACTGTACTTTTCTCACACTTTTAATCCATGCTTATGTGTGCAGCAGCTACAGCCCTAATCCCTTTTAGCGTTTGTGTGGAATCGTGTGATTAATGCAAAGTGTAGGGGTGTGATCGTGTGTAGGTAATACCAGTGAGGTGTTCCTGGGTGAGTAGCTTGATGGTGACTATTCCATTTGCATAATGGCGTGTTGTATAGCTGCAACATACCTGTATTGTAATTAAACTTCGTATATTCAGTATCAATGAAACCTGGTGCAACAAGACTCTCCCCTAAACTTGATCTTTTGATTCAGTACCAGTCACCTGTCCCACTGGAAAGCATGCAGAGAACCATATAGACAATTATCATCTATGCCTGTTTATATATGTAAGATTTACAAGGCCCCTGCTTTGTACAGGACATCCTGTTTTAGGGGTCCTAAAGTGGAATCCTGGATTGGAGTGATACAGGACACCCCAAATCCCATATTTGAGAGTGAGCACAAGCCACACTTCCACAAGACCAGCCCCCCAAAATATGGATCAGGCCTTTTGCAGGACATGGGTATTCCTCTTCTGTCAGATCAGGCTGACACCAAACAGCGGGATAAAGTTCTCATTTTGTGATGACTGGCCTGTCATCACAAGATTTGCATGGGTTTTGAGATCCTTGTGATATTAAAGTTCATGAAATCGAGATCTTATAAGAGGCCTCCTCTCCCATAACTTGAGCAGAACTTCTATAGGTCTGCTCATTCATTTTCTACTGCAACTCTAGGACAGTATATATGTCTGCCATATCTTCAGTATCACTCAAGCCATCAGAAATTTGTCATGTGTATAGTAAGTGTGGCTAGGGCAAGGACCGGCAACCTTTTCGAGACCTGGGCCGGTCTCCCGTAGCCCAGGT